CGTCATGCCATACGGCCAAATCTACAAAAAAATTTTTTTTTTAGTCAAATCAATGCCTAAACGAATCAAGGCAGTTATTAAGTCGAAAGGTGACGTTACTACGTATTAGTTGTTAACTTACATCTAAAAATTATAACGTGTCCGAACATTAATGTGTCACGTATTATTTGCATATTTCAGAATTTGCTTATGTGACCTGCTTATATATTTACCAAAATCAAAACTATTTATGGTTTATAGAAATAGATACATGCATTGTAATCACAAATTAAAGTGAGAAAAATAAAAGTTAGTTTATACGTTTTTCGAGAGTGATTTATTGAAATAACTGACGTGTCCGAACATTTATGTGTTAGGGCTCGTAATTACAAAGAAATTATAGTAACTTAAAAAATATGAACACTAATGAACTGACCGATATGTTTCAAGTATACTTTCAATGTAATAAAAATATTCCTAAGCAGAACGTCTATGCAAATCATACATACCACAGAAAGTGCAAGTGTTAGAAAATTTTGCCATTTTAATTTAAATATGATACAACAAGAAGCAGGATTTTGGAGAAAAATTATATGGTCAGGTGAGTGTACCTTTAGTAATAATGGCATTTTTAACCGAAATATCCATCGATATTGGAGTCAAGAAAATCCCAGAATAACTATTGAAACCAATTACCAACAGAGATTCAGTTTCAATGTTTGGTGCGGTATTCTAGGTAATCGATTAATTGGACCATTTTTTATCGATGGAACTCTAACTCAAGACAAATATCATAGACTCTTGTCAGAAAATCTTGCAAACTTTTTGGATACCTTACTGCTTGCAGAAGTGTATAGGATTTATTTTCAACAAGATGGTGCTCCCCCGCATAATGATAGAAGAAACACTAATTGGTTAAATGCTAATATTGATGAAAGGTGGATTGGAATGACTGGTTCTGTTCGATGGCCCGCCCGTTCTCCTGATCTCACCCCCGCAGATTTTTGGTTTTGGGGATATCTCAAAGATCAAGTATTTTTGACACATCCAGAAAATGTAGATATTTTAAGAGAGAGGATTATAAACGTTTGCCGTGAAATACCTCCAAACTTAATATCAAATGCTACGTATGAGGTAGCCAGAAGATGTCAATTATGTATTCAACAAGATGGAATACAGATCGAACAATTTTTATAAGGTTTTTTATTGTTACATTGTTTTGTTGTTGATCTGGTATCTATTTGTTTTGCTTTGTTGTTGTTACTTTAGACATAGCATTTCTCTAATAAATTTTGTAAAAAAATATTTTTTCCATAAAATATTTAACAAATATCAAGTTGTAATATATCGTTGACTGCAGAAAAA